AGACTGGTTGCGTTAAAAGAAAAAAGAACAAGCTTGGACGCTATTTTTTTTTCTCTCTATAAGGAAAACAAACCAAAAACATGGTTTTCTAGTTCTGAACATTATGATCATATTCTCTGTATATGGCTGCGTGGTGACCCCTGTGATTTTTTGCTAAGCCTCTTGTGTTTTGCTTTCCTAGTTTGTTTATTCTTTGTCCCACGCTTCATCTTCTCATTATTAACTGATGCTAATATCTCTCTGTTTCTGGATTGAGAAGCAGCATCTCTTTATCATCTAACTTGTTCTTTGCATGTCTTTGAATCCTGGGGGCATGATTCTAAAATCTCTGACATCTTCTCGTTTCAATTTATAAATTTAATTTAATTTAGAAATATTGAGTGCTTACGGTTGCCTCTATGTATTTTAGATTCTATGAAGGCACTATAAAGTCGTATGATTCACAAAAAGGGAAGCATGTGGTAAGCTGGATGATGCTGAACTTATGATTTGACGTGTTTACTGTGGCCACCCATTTGCAGTCCTGATGCAATTTTCTTTTTCATGTCATGTCAAAGATATTATATGATGATGGGGATGTGGAAGTTCTCCGTTTGGAAAAGGAGCGCTGGGAGCTTATTGACAAGGGTCGCAAATCTGCCAAGGTCTCATTTTATATCATCATTCTTTCTTTCTGTGGAACAGTTATAGTTTTCTATTTCCATTGAATGAAATTAGTTATGATTGAAGTCTGATGCTTCTTTTGTTGCCTTTCCAGAAGATAAAATCTTCAAAAACTCTTTCTTCACTTCAGGTGTAAGTATTCCTGCCACAGGATAGTTTTAATATTAATAAGATTTCTATTTGACATGTTTTATGGTTATATATTATAAAAAAATGCATGATATGAGTATATTAAGCCAAGTGTTGACCAAATTACGCTTAATACTTATACCCCTCTTATTCCAAAAATTCCCTTGTCTTTTGTGATGTGATGATAACATACATACATGCATACATACATACATTACAAAAATCTTTCTTCTAATTTGTTTTATGCTACATACATACATACATACATATGTTACAAAAATCTTTCTTCTAATTTGTTTTATGCTAAATGAGGTAACTTTTTGCAAAAAAGTGAATATGATAGCAAAGACAGCAAAGTTGATGTTATGGTTCCAAATGAGATTATAATTTATGGATATAACAGTAAAGACAGTTAACTTTTGTTTTTGGAAGTAAATACCGTGTAGAAAGTTACCTTCATTGACAGAATAAATAAGAAGGGGGCCAAGCGTAATTTTTATAACAAGGTGGATATTAAGTTTAATTTAATTAAATCTGGGAGTTAGTGTAATTTACTCTTTTACATTATGGAAAAATTTGAATATGATTTTCTTCTTTTAATCGAGTGTTATGTTTTTTGGTACTCGCCTTCCTTTGTGGTCTTATGGTCCATTATGAGAAAGCTATCTTCCTTTGGATGGTTGAGTTTCTTGAGTGTTTTACAGGTCATCTGGACAGAAACGTAAAAGCCCTAGTGGTTCACAGAGTAAAAAAGCAAAAACGATGTGAGTGAAAAAGCTTAGATTATTATTGGAGATTTGTTATTTTGTTTTATATCTTAGTCATTTTAGTTTGTTCACCTTATATAGAATTAATGGTGAACAATCTTCAAGAAAGAATGTTACACCTGGAGAAAAAGGCAAGTCAAAAACTGATTTTCACCGAGATGATGTTAAAGAGAGTACTGAAACAACCATGACATCCAAAGCTGATGAGATGGACTCAGGTATTGTGTCATTAGAGAATATGTTTTGTTTTTGTTTTTTTTTTTCAGTTGCCTACGAGTATCTTTCTATTGGAGGCAATTCTTGTCAAGACACAATTGAGCACTAAATATGGACATATGCTTTGTTTGTTCACTGCCTTGATTTTCATCTGTCTTCAGATCATTTCTATGTGATGCTGATCAATGCATCAAACATATTTCCCTTTGGATTTAATGATTTATGACCTTTAAGAAGTTACTGTAGTCATACTGATCTGTTTTTAATTATATTTATTACAGACAAATCAATCTTCATGCAAAAAATTTCCATGTCAGCTCTTTCTTTTGTTAGCTGCATTGGCACCAGAAAAGATGATATACCATTCTTTTAAACCATATTTTTATTTTTAAATAACTAGATCAGGCTGAACAGGACTTTATTACACGTGATTTACTATTTAAAAATAGAAGACACTTCTATAAGATGAAATTAAACTTAAACTACTGCTCAAGCTGTCACTTGAATCGGAGGTTTATATCTTCAGGGTTCCTTGCAGTCATGTTGATTTGTTTACATTTGATATTCTGCTCACTTGCAAATTTGATTGGTGAACTTGTATGTCAATTGAGGGCATGTTTACAGGTGATTATTTTTTTAAGGAGGATTGTGCTGTGACTGCATGTTTAGGACTTTAGATGTACATGTTTGTGGCAGGAAGATTAGTGTCTTACCGTTACTAACAGATACAATCATTCAAGTCAAAGTAAATATGGATTCTTGACGTTAGAATTATCCCAATATGGAACAAAATCTAAGCTTCGCTTCACTCTCTCTCTCTCTCTCTCTCTCATTTGTTATTTCTTCTATGAAAGGTGATTTTGAAGGGGAGCAGGCTGAAATATCAGATGAAGTAATAAGAAAAGTCAAAAAAGGTAAAAAGAAAGTAAAGAATGTTTCAAGAGGGAAGAAGGTTCAAAAAGAGAAGAGCTTGAGTTATATGGAAGAAGATTCTGATGAAGAGAAGCAGGAATATGCTGAAAGACTTTATGAGGATAGAGAGACTGCCCCCCCAGGTGTTCAAAATGTAGAAGAGAGTGGTTCAGAAGAGAGAGAATTGGACGAATCAAGTGGATCCTTGAGAGAGAAGGCAAATGGAGAAGCAGAATCCGATTCTGAAGGGAATCAGGGAAACAATTATTTGGAGGAGAGCGGTCCCCAAGAAATGGACGGAGCACATGAAGAGTCATCAAGTCTTGATGGTGTTGGGAATGCTGAGATTTCAGAAGATGCACCTCTAGTAAAGAGCTTGACCTTTCACACTTTTCTTTTTAACCCTTTCTGATTGAATTATTATCTTGGTTCTTCTGAAATGCACTTTCTCCAGTCCTCCAAAAATTAGTCTTCCAAAGAGTTATTTTATTTCTATTTTGGTTCATATGTTAAACCCCTTAATACGTCATTAACACAGATTTTACATGCCATGGCATGAAACTATTGTGGTTGGACAATGTCTAACTGGTACTTAAAACATGCTATGGTATATGCTTGGAGTGGCAGCACCAAATTTTTCGGTGCTTTATCATTCCATGTTTTAGTAACAAACAGACCTTTAACAATTACACAGGTTTCTTGTCAAGCCATGACTTCAGTTTATGTTAATTACGTGTCAAGGGGTTTAATATGAGAATGCTATTGAAGATGAAATGCTCCTTGGAGCCACAGGATTGAAATGAGACTTTCAAACTTATGTTCATTAAGTTGATTTGTGGACCAAAATATTAATTTTCTCATCAATATTGTTGCAAAATTTATTGCAAGTTGCATTATGCGTAAGTTACAGATGGATGCATATTTTGTTTATCTAAAAATTGTAACATTTGTAACTTCGTACTTTGACTGTTGCAGAGCAAATGGAAGCTACGCACAGGGAAGAAGAGTTCAGGCCAAAAGCGGTGAGGATTTTAGCTGTGCAACATTTTAGTCGTTTCAATACAAATACAGATGGGTGCTTGAATGAAGATGACTACCACATAACTTTACCACACTTGTAGTCACCCTGTAGAATGTAAAATAACAACCATTCCCACGTCTAGAGTGAAAAATGATAGGGCATTTAGGTTTTAGGGTTAATGACCATCTTGTATTTGTTAGCTTACGATTCATGAGGGTGTTGTTTAGCTTAGCTTATGATTCATGAGGGTGTCGTTCTCCCGTCCAATTTAATTTATATGATAAGTGGGGCTTTGTGTACAGCTAGCTATACCTATACGTGGGAATAATTGTACTTAGCATAGTCGTACTTTTCTTAACATCCATGAAAGGGATGATTTAAGCATAAATTTTTAATCTTGTTTGCTGCTGCGTTTGGCTCACGAGTCGGTGCTTGGTGGGTCCCTCGGCGGTCCATTTGGATCCCTTCAAGTTATGTGATTTTTTATGATTTGGTTCCGGGGAATGGGGGGAAAAGAGAAGGAGAAATTGTAATGAGCTTAATTTTTGTTTTTTAATGGAGAAATGTGGTTGAAAGTTTTTAATTAAATTTTCTTATCATTTTCTTTAACATTTTTTCTATTAAAATTTTGCAACTCCATTTCTTCTTTTTTAAAAAAAAAAAATCAAATTCATTACAATTCTCTCCCTTACCCTTGTCTCATTTTCCCTTGAGAAATGTTTACAATTTTAATTTTCTTTATTTATTATTAAAATAAACAAATGGTTCGCCACACCCCTTGGAACAAAAGACGATCTTGAATCAGGACTCGAACATGTTTAAATTATCTAAATTATGGTCCTGTCAAGCTCAAGAATGAGCCTATTTTTGGTCCCAAAAAAAATTAAAAAAGAATGAGCCTATCTTGTGGAGGAGGCAGGCAATTTTGGTACAGCGTGCAAGATGAATTTATGCTTGGCATCTTAACTTGGTACTCATAAGTAGCAAGTAATTTTAGACCTGTTCTTGAGAAAGGTTTTGGTATTTTTTGGGCCAAAAGTTTCGGGTTTTTTATTTTCTCAAAATTTGAGTTCTAACTCTTGAGCATGAAACTTCAAGGTAGTATGGGTTTTTTGGGTCAAATCTATAGGAACAATGTGGATCAAATACAGAAGTAGAATGAAGAAGACAGCATCACGGACCATACGATGGAGTTCTGAGTCTTTAGAGACTGCTGAAGTTCAAAAAATCAATGATATAGATTCACATTATAATGGGGATACCATTTATATATTATAATGGGGATAAATGAATAGTCACTGCAAAAGCTCAGACTAATATTATATTTCCAACTTCAAATTCATTACCAAGATTATGGCCAGAAATACGTGGCTGAATGAATATGAAATAGCAGTACACTTCGGAAAACACCATATTTCCGAGAACAAACTCTTAACGTTATTACTTTTCAGTCTTTGAGGACATTGAGGTATCGCTAAAGGCATTCCCAATATGAGGCAGCCGATTTCGGTACAGAATGTCAAGCTCATCAAAGTATGGGCAAGCTTTATTATTTAGACGTCGCTTCTTCTTCCTACTCTCCATCGTTCTCTTATAGTACTTGTTGATGTTTTCCCATTTCTCCTTGCACTTCTTTGCAGAGCGATTGTAACCCATATTGTTCATTGCTTTAGATATTTCTTCCCACACAGATACTTTGGATCCTATACCTTGAAACTTGTGCTCTGAACAAGTCCTGAGAGTTACGAGAGCTTGTACTTCAGCTTCCGGCCATCTGTTGTTACTCTGATCACTCTTGAAATCTTTTGGGACGTTGGCTTCGCCTTCGCCTTCATCATCGTCTCTTGCACTGGTTGCTGCTGGTTGGGGGATTTGAATTTCATGGCCCAGTAGATTCTGAATCAATGATATGAGTGCTAGGTTATTATATTTTTCTTGAGCTCTGGCCTCCTCATCCTTTTTAATTCTTACCATCTCCTTTTGCTTCCAAGCTTCTTCCCTCACTGCTCTTTCCCTTTCCTTATTTTCTATCATGTCCAGCAGTTGCTGATGCATCTTTTCTTGCTTTTCCATCACCTTCGTCACCAAATTTTCCAGAAAAGCTTCAAACTTGGCAATCGTCTTTTTCCTTTTCTTTCCATACCCACGATCTTCCACACTTTCAGATGAATCATCATCACCGTCATCTTCCCAAGATGAACTGCAATATGAGAGGAACAGCTTAAAATAACAGGTCAGATGCAACACCTGGATAGCGATAAGAGCAGTTTCGCCTGATTCTTCCCCCAGCTTAGTTACAGGGCATCCATATTCTATATGATAGATGTTGACCCAATTATGATAACCCACTATGCTAAACTGCCTAGTTGCTATTTGCATTTACCTCAACTGTAATGCATCATAAATAAGTCCCCACTATGCTAAACAACACTGATATATCCTAATATCCTACAAATGACTCGAGAACACACAAGGTAAGTTCAAACTTCAGTTCTTTTTTCTTTTTCTCTCTTTCTTTTTCCTGTAAATTATATTATGACAAGGGATATACACCATCCATACTGTAAACAGTTAGACTTTAGATATTGAATTATCCACTGTTTAAACCGTTTGGTGTGAAATCGGACTTTTTGTTTACAGGAAAGCTAAGTTTCTTAACCAAAGCTCGTGCGTGCTGTGCATTACATTTCAATTTACATAGGAAAAAAGTAAGCACTGAACCCTAGACAACAAGATACACAAGTCAATTTTACTGGTGAAAAAAAATTTGGGTATGCGGTTATGATTCAAATTTCTTCATTGTTTTGAATTTATCGTTGTGAATTACATCATATTAACATTCTTAGTTCTTATAACTTCAACTCTCAGTTAACAAAAATAAAAAATAATGATAAGCAGTTAAGCACCATGCATTACAATGCAACTTTTCAAAGACACTTTGTTGGGATGCTCTGCCCCACTGCAAGAGATAATAATAAGATAATGAAGCAAAAAGCAAGGGAAAAGGCTGCGAAAAGTATTTATATAAAAATGAGGCGAAAAAAAAAATAAACAATTTGCCAAGGCGCGTAAACAAACGCAATCATACAGAAGATTTTAAAACCAGAAAATTCGAGGGATTGAATTCAGAACTCACCCAGATTCCTGCTTCAACTCACAACTATGACTCGGCCCGAGCCCTGCCGGAGTATCCGTCTGAAGGCAATCATTTCCCGCACCGTCATCGGAAGCTTCCTTCCTCAGCTCCTCGCAAGACTCAACTTGCCGATCCAGCAACACAAGGTTCTGACTTGGCTGTTGACAAGGGTAACCCACATCGTGAGACGTTCCGGCGAGCCCTCCATTCTCAGGAATCTCTACGAGCAGCGATGGCGGCGAAGAAGACCGGTCGAGGCTCCGGATGGGCCGGAGCTTCTGCGGCGGGGGATTGGGAAGCCGACGATGGTCGGTGACGTCAGAATGGTGAAAAGACGGCGTGGGATGGGTGTAAAGAAGGTCAGAGGTATCGGGAAATGGAGCCACGTGGTAAGGGAAATCGCCGACGGTGAAAAGGTCGTCCATGAAGAGGGAGGTTAAAAACTTGCGGCGCGAGGGTTAGGGACAAAGGTGAAAATGAACATGTTGACTAGTAAATGTAAGTAAAACTCTGGTAAAATTAAAATGGACCGTTGAAATTACCGATTTGTAAATTGGTGGCCTTTATTTACGAGATTGTCCCTATGTGGGGTGTGAGGATTATTGCGTGTTCTTGGTCTCTTGCTCTCTCTCACTTGTCTTTGCCTCCTGTGTCAACCGTCTCAATATTCTGGATTATCATGAACTTCATGACAATACGCAAATTTTGAACTATTCCTCCCATCCAGAATATAAGCATTTTTTCTTAACTAATCTCAATTTAAAATATATGCAATTTTATACATGTAAAAAAATTATTTTTTTACTTTACCCCTTATATTATTAATTTATATATTTGTGTAAATGTGCCTTACTCATTTTAGACTACATTGATAGTTAAAAATAAGGGTAAAAAGATATATATTTTTATGTGCATGAGTATCTTATTGGTATGTAAATTTTTCTCAAAAACTACTTATACTTTGGATCAGAGGGAGTGCTTAATGAGCTATGTATTTTTTTTTTTTAAAAAAGTATAATATATAATCTAAAAAGAATTTTATATATAATTCTTTTTAGATAAATTTGTTTCTCGCCATCCACTCCTTAATCAATTTTTTGGGACAAAAATTTGAAGTAATTCTTATGCACTCATCTTGATAATGTTAAATGTTACTCATTTGGTCTTGAATACAAGATTAAGACCTGGTTTGCTAATGTACGAGTGTTGAGAAAATTGATTGAATTGGTTACTTCAATTGTCATTGGTATATATGAAACATTGAAATGTGTTAAAAAGAGATCGAGGGAGATAAGTGAAATTAGTGAGAATAATTAAGGGGAAAATATTAAATGAGGAAGAAAAAGAAAGTTGAAGTCTTATATTCAATATCATAATCAATATTTCAACCAGGTCTTATATTTAGAACTAGATAAAGTGTATACTTCAAATTAAAAAATAGTTGTATAAGGATTGAAATTATAATGGACAAACAGTAGGTAAAATTATAAAAAAAATAATTAATTACTCCAATTTTACTTTATATTAAGAAAAACTACTATTATTTGTCTTGCATTAATGAAGGGAGTATTTATTTGGGAAAATATCATAAAAGAACTTCTGGAGAGTTTTTATATTAAAGAAAGACTTAAAAAATTTGAAATTTCACTTCCATGGTGCCTATCTAAAAATAAGATTTTCTAACCCCAAAAGTTTAATAATTTAATAGGTCATTGTTAATTACATATAACTAGTTATCAAAATTCAAATGAGTGCTTATTTATAGAAGATTAACACTTATACAATTAAACATGTGTTATAAGTTTTTGCAATTTGTTCATTTTATAAATGGATTGTTATTAATTACATATAATTACTTGTCAAAACTTGAATGGATGACTTATTTATATATCCATAAAATCTTAAGGGTAATTAGTTTTTTTCTCGCAAAAACTTATTTTGAGATAGGTAATTCCTTCTTTGATATTATGTTATGTTTGGATATATATGGATTTGGATTTGAGCCAAATTCATTATATGGACAATTAAAAATGTGTGAATTTAAATTTAACCGAAATCCACATCTAAATCTTACCTGAATCCCTTTATAATTTTAAATCTTTTCTAAATCTTTTTATTTTAAATTTTAATGAAAGCTTCTCTCTTTCTTCATATTTGTTTGTCAACTTCACTACATTCTTCACTTCGACATCGCTGCACAGAGTCGACATCTATCAAGACCGTAGGTAATGACTAGGACCAAAATGTAGGCGTTGACTGAGACCAGACCACTAGTGTTGATGGGGACCTGTTTGTTGACATTGATAGGAACTGGACTATTGGAGTCGCCTAAGATTAGACAAGTGACTTTGGCTTAGATCGCATGAATGCCACCCACCAAGTTTGTATCGTCGGCGCCAAATGAAACCAGACCACTAGCGCTGCCCAAACTGAAACGTCAACGACAACTAGGATAAGTAATGGCGACTATCGAGACTAGGTCGCAAGTACCCATCGAGAACATACTGTTAGCACTGACCTAAACCTAACTGCAGGCTATGACCAGGACTGAACGGTCGATGCTAATAGGGACCAAAAAGTTGACTTTAATGAAGAAAAGATAGTTAGGGCGGACCGCTAGCTTTAATCGAGATAGGATAGTTGGGGTGGATCAGGATCGAATAGCCAATGCCATCCGAGACCAGACCGCCAAAGATAATAGGAAACTAATGGTTGAGTTTGATAGGGACTGGACTATTGGTGTCAATCAAGACTAGACTATAGGCTTTAATCGAGACAAGATGGTTGGGTTTAACTTAGACTGGATGGCCGATGCCAACCAGACCAAACTGTCAGGGACTATCGGGAATGAATGGCAAGCTTTAACTGGGATCCAATGGTTGGCTTTGATCGAGACTGGACTGTTAATGACAATTGGGATTGAACCACTAATGAAAATTGTGACTGGATCGCCAATGTTGACTGAGACCACCCTCCTCCCTCACCCGATGTCAGTTTTTTATCATTGTCATCATTTGATTCATGTCCAATGCTGTCATCCAATGTCAGTTTGCTACTACCATCCAATGCTAGTCTATCACATCCAATATGTGTTAGTTCACCGTGGCCATCACTATCCAAAACCATTCTATGGTCATCATCTTCAATCCATCCACATTTATTGTCCAACGCTAAATGCTGCTATTAATAGGGAATGTTATGGTGTCGTCATCCAAGACTATTGTAATTATCCTTTGCTAATTATTAGGTGTTGTTTAGGATCAGTGCCGATGTTGACCAAAATAAGACTATCATTGTTGATCTAGATCGGATCGCCACCCCTGATTAGGATCGGAGTGTTGACTTTTATTAGGACTGGATCTCTGACATCATCCAAATTGCCTTTAAATTTAAACGTAGAATTTAAAATTTAAAATTTTATTTAAGATCTAAACAAAGTATTTTAATATTATTATTTAAATTTTTTTATATCATCTAAACAAAGAATTTAGAATTTATAAATATCAAATGTGAGATTTTAACTATGAGATTTCAAATTCAAATTTTCAACTCAAATACATATATCCAAACGCATCCTAAAAACTTTTTAGGGTATATCCTTGTGTGATATTTTCTCTATTTCTTCTATCAAGTATATATTACAAAAACATAACATAAGCATATGTAATGGCAGTTTACACTTGCAACATACCAAGTAAGAGTAACATGCAAGCTGTTGAATTGTGATAGACTTATTTGAGTTTTTTCTAAAAATTTAGTTAGTACTAAAGGGCAAAAATATTATGAAATTTTCCTTAAAGGGTGCTTAGTATCCTAAACTTTTTTTAAAGTAATGTCTCCTTAGAACTTTCCAAAATAGTGTAATATTGCCCCACTGTTAAATTTGATGGATGTTGACTACTAATAAGGTAAGTTTAACCATATATGGAATGCTAAGTTGGACAATTTATTAATAAAAGCTAAAAACCTAAACTTACTTTCTTCTTTCTCATTCCAAGATGCCAATTCTAGCTTTATCTCCGTCATCATCTCAAACAAACTTGTTGGCTTCATCTCCATCATTTCCATATCAATTTTGACAAATCCAACATTAGAGAACTTGTTGGCCATGATGTGGATTAATAACTTAAGAGAAAGAAACCAAGAAGTCGAGCAAAGTTGGGTAGCTAAATTTCAATCACTGCATCGACCTCAGTCAAACTCAAATTGAAAGATTACAAGTTCCTCCATTGTTAAAAGCTCAAATTGAAACCAGAATCATGCACAATACCTCATTCTCCTATTCAAGCAACCACAATATCAAAGAGAGAACAAAACTAAATTCATCATCATTTCCCCTATCACTACAATAAAAAAGCATGTAGAAATGCAAAAATCCTACAATTTACTCAAAATGTGGCTATTTCAATTGTGAGAAATACTTTTCCATAGTAATTTGGGAACTATGGGTTATATTGTCTATGGTATAATCAAAATCATGAAACCTTTATTGATAAATGACATTCTCCCACAGTTCAATCAAGAACTGTGGGTTCCTGACTGACAACTCTAGAACTTGTGTAAAGTTCAAGAAGTTTTGACAATCTTACAATTCCTTTTTGAATCATGGGACTTTTTATTTGAAAAAATTTTGGCAATCCTACAATTCCTTTTTAAACCGTGGGACCTTTTATTTAAAAAATAAAATAAAATATAAGATAGGTCTCACAGTTCCTTTTTGAACCATGTGATCTTTTATTTAAAATAAAAAATATGACTTTAACAATTTCAATATATATCCAAAGGATTATTGATAATAATTTAAATAAAATTAATTTAAAATATCATTATTTAAATATATATATTATTTTAACTGTAAATAAATATATATTATTTTAATATTATTTATCTTTTAATTGATTTATTAGTTTTACTTGATACATTTAATTACATCAAACATATATTAATTTTATTAAATATTTATATTTTTAATGGTTATATATAAAAATTAAAATATAGATTATCTGTTATTTTTAGCAGTTTAGATATGTGTAGGAAAAAATAAGTATTATAAAAATAACAAAAAAACATAACATAAAATAAAATATAAAATTAAAATATAATAATAAAACTTTGATTTTCCAAACAAATAGTATCTCGTGCTTCTATACACTATAAAACTATGATTTTGTCTTTTAAATAGATTATTCTTTAAATGGTAAGCTTTTGGGATCTTGGTTGGAAAAGAAATTTTGTTTTTTGGGATTTTACATATGTTTCATGGACCTCAAAATCAAGACTAGTAGTGACAAAACTCGAGGATTTTCTAGGCGATTCTTCATCATCTATTATATGCTACTCTGATAGCCAAATGAACACTTAAGATTTGTCAACCCTAACCTATATATATGACCAAGGCTAGGCCTACTTCAATAACTAGCAAGATTTTAAGGCGATCTGTCACGTTTCGTCATTTTTCACAAGGTTAAAGAGGTCCGGAATGCTCCAGAACCCTCCAGAAGGCTCCCAGCTAACCTTAA